CCTCAAGAGAAGAGCCATGTGCATGATTGGGATATCCATGGCCGTGTCACGAGAGGGGCCATGGACGCAAGGCCGCGAATCACACTTCAAAGAAGACAAAGATATTCTAAGTGTGGAGAAGGACTTGTCGCTTTAACGAGGAGGGTCATGTCCCTCTAGAGATCGAGAAGGTCATGTCGTGTCACAGGAAGGGCCACGAGCATGAATGAGAGGTCCATGGCCACGAATGAAGAGGCCATGCCGCCTTATGACCAAATTTGAATGACCTAAAAATATTCAAGTCTGGGAAGAACATGCCGCTTCACGAGAGGGGCCATGAGCACGATTAAGAGGTCCATGCCGCCTCATGAGAGGGGCCATGGACACAAATAAAAAGGGTGTGGTGATGGAGCATTATATCACTAGTGAATATGTCTCAAGAGGTCCATGACCGTTAGACAAGAAGGCCATGGACATGAGTAAGAAGTTCATGACCGTAAGACAAGAAGGCCATGGACATGAGTCGGAAGTCCATGGCCGCGAGGCAAGAAGACCACGACCCCCTTTGTGAGACACCGCATGCTTATCAAAAGACTAGCATGACAGGAGATTCAGAACAAGACCAGGCGAGGCAAGTTACACTCCAAGACCCACGACGGCTACAAGAGAAGCCCCTAGGCGGTTGAAGGGAGCGGTTCTTTTTGGGAGTTATCCAAGAGGCGGTTTTCTACCGAAGAAGGGGGAGCGATTCTTTGTAGCAGTTATCCAACAACCGATTTTCTATGGCGGTTACCTCCTCGTGGCTATAAATAAGAGGAGGGGTCGACAGAGACAAGGGTTCCCAAAACCACACAACTGACACACATGTCAAGTTTATCCTTTACCTTTTCTCTATCATGTAGCCATAGATGTAGTTCCTAGTTTGGAGCTCTCGTCGAACCTCCATAGGAGTAGAAGTAATTTAATTTAGATCTCGTTCCCAGAAACCATCAATCAAACACCCTCGTTCGAACTTTGTTTGAAGAGGTGTGAGCCGTGTCTTGGTAATCATTGCCCAAAGAAGTCAAAGGTGCATTAATCTCATTTCAACACTAGTTTTCTCGCGGAAAACAGATGTATATTCGTTCTAGACAATCACATCAACAATTAACTCATCCAAATTACTCATGCAGACTGATGTGACAAACGAGTAACTCAAGAATATCGGATGCGGCGCAATGTCAAAACGTATGATGAGAAACCATGTAGTGGAAGAAGTAGTAGTAGTGTAGTGAACCTTTGGGAGAGAAGATGGGGGAGAGGGGAATAACGAGTGAGATTCCAACGCACTGCCTGGCAACAGATCCAGTGGAAGCCCAGGACCAATTCTGCAGCAAACATCCCATTCCAAGCCCATCTCCCCAATCCAGAAGCTGCAGATGAGGCTCTGTAAATCCATGTGCAGCACAACCCAGCGAAAACAGAGGCCGCAAAAGCCCTGTGGACAAGTTTTGCTCCCTTTGGAGCTTCCCTGCTCTCGAACAGAGGAGGAGAAGACATAGTGAGTGGGTGCTCTCGCAATTATTGGAGTGCTCTGCTCGCAAGTTATGGAGGGAAATAGAATATAGAACAGAATATGTATAATGACATATATGTAGCTGCTGCGGATCTGCGACGCAGATTTTGCGCAATTGAAAAAAATGGAAAAACACAAGTACCTCACGTCTGTAACTCTTGATCATGGATTGACTAGAGAGTAGTGACCACACAATAGAGGCTGCCCCCCACTGGACCAGTGACGCTAAGGTGGAAGACGACACAAGAAAATGTGATTTACAACGAATTCTCTGGAAATGGCTAAAGTATCGGTATCTCGATTCCAAATATCAAAATTTTAGATATTGAATAATGTTTTTAAAGTCATTATTAATTCAAAAATAAATTTGATATGTCAATTTCGTTCCTGAATACTAAATCAATTGCCTTCACAATTAACAATTTAATCTATAAAAAATTACGATGAGAAAACTCTAATAAAAACAATGGAAATTGATAAGGTATTGGTATTGGAAAACCTACAATGAATAGATTCGGCACATGTTCCCATTTGGGTCAAACTTCAAAGAGAGTAGACCAAGTTATCTTCAGTTTTCCTAGAGCTAAAGCAAAGATAAAAAGAAGGGAGGAGATGTTGATATCTCAATCTGTTGACCTTGGTAATTTTTCATTCGTGGATTGGAGGTCGAGAAACGACTAACGAAAGTGCTTACTTTTAGTGATTTGGATATAACAATAGATTGAATGAGTGACAAGAGTGATCTAAGAAAACGAGAAAGTCATGTTTGAATTGGATGGGACTTGAACTGTTATACTAACTCCAATCCAAAAGGCTATATTTAGCCTCTCAAGCTCTTAAATGTGCATTTTTACCTCTCAAACACACTTTTTTGCTCCAACCCTAAACCTTCTAAATTTGCCTTCCCAACTCAAAATCAGCCAATCAAAAATTAAGAAAGTAAAAAAAAAAAGCAGTGGAAAGTGGAGGGCCCCACTGTAACCCCGCGTGTGGGTTTCGGCTACCGCGGGATCCCCCACATTCTCCTTGCATTTTGACCCCTCCCTCCATTTCAGCTGTCATCCATCCACTCGCAAGCCCACTTCTCCAAATTTGCAAGCCATTTTTAGGTGGGTTGAAAAGGAAAAAGTGGAAAAACATTACTTTCTCCAAATTTGCATCCTTGGGTTGGAGTTCGTCTTATAGATGAAGGAATGACCAGAGGTTGTGAATACTATTTAATTAATTGTATATATTTTTTTAATATTTCCTGATGTTCTGGCATGTATAGATCTCAGTTCTTAATACCATTCAATACTTCAGTACTCACCAATACCAAATAAAAATAAATCACTACAATATTTAATATATTCGTTAGTTATATCGGTTGAATTGCATATTATTGACGACTTTAGTGTGATTTCATTCTAATCTTTGCAACAATTTTTTCACGGTTCTTCTGTCACATGTCTAGTATATTTTAAACTAGTCTTTTGTACAAGCTCATCATAATCTATTTTGGATCATTAATCACATAAGCCCACGATTCATATAGTTAGTCTCTTTGTACAACTTCGTGATCCATAGTTTTCATTCAAGTGCTTTGCTACAAGCTCACAATCAATAATTAGTGTATTTGTGGAACGGTAGTCCCAAATCACATTCGAAACTCGAAAGGTTTCTTCTCGAATATAATTAACTAGACACGTAATTTATAGTTGATCCACGGTAGAAAAAGAAGAGGAATATATACATCATCGATCGTTGACCATAAAAATACATCGATCGTGCGTGCCACGTTCGGCCGGAAAGGATCTTGGTCTCTTTCGAATGGATCGCCAAGTCGGGTTTGATTTAGTGGGCCTTACATGGGCCGTGGGTGCGAAGAGTCATTCTCCTGTAAAACCTCAATTAGCGGGCCAGCACAAATGTAGCCTGTGTGCTCTGCCCTTTTAAATGGATTGGACAAATGAAGAGGGACGATGATTAGTTCGCGTAAATAGTTTATTAGCTAGTTATCGAAATGTCACTTTTAATTATTAATTGTACGAAAAGTATTGACACAGTCGAATAATTCGTAATTTTGATAAATAACTACCTGATCGGACACACTATTATATTATCATTCATAAATGAGACCCCACTAAACTCGAACTCCGACTACGCCACTAAATTGCAGGTGATTGATTTAGATCTAATCACTAGAACCATAGTTGAAAAATGAAATGAGCTTGAAAAGGATAGGGCATACACGATTTTGGAAGAGAAGGGTGCATGTCCACATCCATGCCAAAACCAAAGATAGAACCATCATCATCATCACAAAATCTTAATTCCCACCTAACATTATATGAAAATCCCCCTTATTTTTGTGCATCTAGGTTCTGATAGAGAGGGGTCAAAGATAAACAGACAAGGAGAGAGACATGAAGGAGGCCCCAACAAGGAAAACTCCAACAATTTCCATTCACATGAATAATCATGTAAACAAGAGGAAAGGAGACAACCCACCACGACCTAACCTTACTTATAACATATATTCATAGACAATTTTCAAATTGATAATCAATCATTCTATTGTTTTTTAATGACACACCCTAAACTATAAGTAATTCCACGAGTAATATTAGCCCTGACGATTAAGGTTGTCAAATCAATCTGTACAATTACATCGGTTTAGCAAGTGATATAGTCGGACCAAGATACGGTTTATACATATCGTTTTGTGTTGGTTTTAACAAAAATATGTCAAAGAAGCGAGCATTTATTAACAACAAATAAATTGCATGTATATATAACATATTTCAAGACAATATTCTCTAGAAGCTACAACATTATTTAAATAAAATAAACTACTATAAATAAAACGACAAAATATCGTATTTAAATACAATATTTAACATCAACATCCAACATTTATACATGAATTTTTTTATGGTATTTACAAATGAATTGATATTTCTATAATGACAGTCATTTTATTTAGAGACAGGAACTGGATCCAATTGGATACAATTTTTTTTTAAGCAAATAGCAATTTTAAGTATCACTTTATAAAAAATATTACAACTTATTTATATCACGACAAATTGAACCCGATTATACCGACTAACATCATATTAACAACTATATTGACAAACCACCTCTATTGTTTTCATTCATGTTTTTCAAACACTTTTCACTATTTCCCCTCCCTAGTCTCCCTCCCTTTGTCTCCCTCTCCTTGTCGTCATTATTTGATCGGAATTTGTCGTCTTGGGGCGGGAGGGTCGGTTCTCCAATAAAAAAGGTTAAATTCTAGTGCTGACCTGGCAAATACCAATAGTAAAAAAAAGGGAAAAGAAAACAAAGTCTGCTTGCTTTGGCAACCAATACCCGGGATCCACGTATCCATTTATATTTTCGAAAATGCCCAAACTACCCTTATTACGACCTGCCCAAATAACCAAACAAAACAAGAAAAGGAAAAACATTAAAGCGTGTCTCTCTCTTTTCTTTTCTTTTCTTTTCTCGTCTCCGCCGGGCGTCCCGCCTCCTTGTCTCCTCCGTCACTTCTCCGTTCCCGTCGAGCACTGATCGACGAGTATACTATACCGGGCTGCCTGGCTTTGCCTTTTCGTTCATATAATAATTGAGAAACAGTAACACCGAAAAAGGATAGAAAATTGCGCCCTCAGCCAAACCCTCCTTCCAAATTTCAGACACTCTCTGTTCTCTCTCTCTCTCTCTCTCTCTCTCTCTCTCTCCTTCGCCATAATAATTTTGTTCTTTACACTGCAATAGTTCAATAGTTGCCGTCCCGATACCCAAAAAAGGCAGAAATATTTCCCCTTTTTCAAATTTGATTCCGGACCCAGAGTTTCCTTTTGTCCAGAAAAGGGTTGCCTTTTTCTTCTTCGGCGGGTGGAGGGATCAAGTAAAGTTACCGGAATTTTCCCTGCGGATTCTCCCCGGGCTTTTTTTTTTTTTTTGCTTGGTGGGTTTTGCTGTCCGTGTCGAAAGATCAAACGGGGTTTCGTCGGCGAGGTTTCTGGACTAGGAGGCGGAGGATTTGGGAGTCGCTCTTTCACAGGTTGTTTGTTCTGGAGGTGTTGGAGGTTACACGGCCGCGATTGTTTGACCCCTTTTTCGCGCTGCAGAGGGCTTGATTAGGATTGTCTTGCCTGACCAGGTGATTTGATTTTTCTTCTTTCTTCTCGGTTTTGTTTCAGTTTCAAGTTTTCTTGTTACCTCTTTCGTGCTCTTGTATTGTTTTGTTTGTCCTGTGGTATTGATTGACATTGAAAAATATTTAAGAGCTTATTATTTTGGCGTTGTCGATTGCTGGTTTATTTGGTGTGATGGAGTTGGATTTTCTCCTGTGTTTCGGTCGGTGATTTTGGTTCTGAAGTTCTTGATAGTGAGGAGATTGTTTACATGGGAAGAAGCAGAGCAGCAAATGGCCTAGAGGAGAGTAGGAAATGTAAGTGTTTGAGTATGGGAGACTTTGGTGCTCAAGTTTTTTGGTGTTGTTTTGGTTCTGGTGTTGCGAATTTGTATTGAGTTTAAGCCGGTGTAGCCGAGCTGGTTGGAAATGTTGGAAGGTTTGAAAGGGTGAGCACAAAGAGATTGGATGACTGAAGAATAATGGCCTACTGGCTACACTGCTCATGGTCTCTTGTTCCGGATAAGTTCTAATGTGGCGGAGTAGTGATCTACTGCAGGATGCTTGTTAAACCAGTTTGGTATCATTTATTCGTAGTCGAATATGCTGAGACATTTTCAATGAGAGCTTTGGTCCTTCAACGTTGCACTGGTAATGACTTCGTCTTGGTGAAAAATGGGACGGAATTGAGATGTTAAGTTGCTTGATGGGAAGAGCGCAGCTCTTCTAGTGAGGTGACCTCCAATTGAGAGAGTTGTAGTTGGAGATTTCTGTCGGGTCTTTCAATGTGTTATGTAATTGGTTGCTTTTGGTGTGTCCCTCTAAAACGACCAGAAGCTTTTCAAGTATGCAGCAATTAGGAAAAAATGAAAAAGTATATGGAGCCTGTAAGGTGCAATTACTGGCATTGATGAGTGTTGAAACTTTGGCATTCAATTGCTCTACTTGGGTATAGACTGAACATTTGACGGTCTCCTTCTCATTGCTTTATATACTCTCAGATATTAAGCAGCAACCCCTTCCTGTTTGTCACTAGTCGGGCTATGTTAAGATTAAGTGTACTTCGTTGGTTTGGCCTGTGAATTGAAGTTTATATTATGTTCACATGTTGAGAATGGTTGACGATTTTATTTTATCCCTTTCTTTGTTTACTTCTCCATCTTCAGAAGCATGCCTTTTGTTGTTGGATGCCTAAATCTATTCCATTATATGTTCCTTCACTCTGTATGATGCTGTCCTACTTGTTTCGGCCAGGTTGTTTTTGTGCACAACAATAGATATTAAAAAAAGCTGGAAAAGGAGCAATAGCTATGGTGTCGAAGGAGCAGCATGGGGGTACCACCGATTCTCCTAAAGCGGTAGTGGGCGAAATTGACACTAGGGCGCCCTTTCAGTCTGTCAAAGACGCTGTCACCCTATTTGGGGAGGGTGCTTTCTCAGGGGAAAAGCCAGCCATAAAAAAACCAAAGCCTCATTCTGCAGAGGTATCCATGATTTCTAATTTGCTATTTGTTATCATATTCTGAGTGGGATTGAACTAGATGGGTGCTGTGGGGGTTCTCTGTTGTGTTACTGCTTGTAAAACCTTCGCCTAAAACATGGCAGACTGAAAGGGAGTTGTTTGTATTTTCTGTCCTTTATGATTCATCTTGAAACCGCCCAAAAGACTGGATCCATTTTGACCTCTTGTGTGATTATCTAGAAATGTGGATATTTATGACCAAGTTCTTAACCCTTACGCTCTGTATCTTACCTTATTGCAGCGAGTTTATGCAAAGGATACACAGCTTCATGTAGCCCAGAAGGAGTTGAACAAGTTAAAGGATCAGCTAGACAACGCTGAAACAACCAAGGCTCAAGCATTAACCGAGCTTGAAAAGGCTAAAAGAACAGTTGATGATCTGACCCAAAAACTCAAAACTATCAACGAAGCAAAAGAGTTGGCACTGAGAGCCACAGAGACTGCAAAAAATCAAGTGAAGCAAATTGAAGAAGCAAATAGTGGACTTAACCAGCCAACTGATGCTGCTAGGCTTCAGGATTTAGAGGCTGCAAGGGAACAGTATATAACTGTATTTTCAGAGCTCGATGTTGCGAAGCAAGAACTTAGGAAACTTCGCCAGCAGTGCGATGCATCTTTGGAGGCAAAGCTTGCTGCTATTACACAAACTGCTGAAGCCGCACATTCAACCAAAGTAAACGTTGAAAAAGTTGGCGAGCTCTCTAAGGAGATCTCATCAATGCAAGAATCAATTGGGCAAGTGAAGCTTGCTTCTCTTCAGTCCCATGAAGAACAAACCAAAATATTTTCTGACAAGGACCTTCAGAAGCAGTCATACAAGGCTACCCTAGAAGAATCAGCAAACAAGCTTATTGCATTGAAGAATGAGTTCGATCCAGAACTTGCACAGAATCTCGAAAAGCAACTGACCGAAACAATGAACGAGATAAGTGGTCTGAGAGAGCAAATGGACCGTGCAAAGGCCTCAGATTTGGATTCTGTTAAAACCGTCACTTCAGAATTAGATGGTGCTAAGGAGTCACTGCAGAAAGTAGTGGAAGAAGAAAGCGCTTTGAGAAGTTTACTTGAATCGCTAAAGCTGGAGCTGGAGAATGTGAAGAAGCAGCATCTGGAACTCAAGGAGAAAGAGGCAGAAACAGAATCCATTGCTGGAAACTTGCATGTTAAGCTACGGAAATGTAAGTTGGAGCTTGAAGCAGCCATTGCAGAGGAGTCCAAGGCAAGAGGTGCTTCAGAAGAAATGTTCACCAATCTCCACCAGTTATCGGTGGAATCTGAGAATGCACGTTGTCAAACTGAAGAGATGAAGAGCAAAGCTGAGGAGTTGAAGAAGGAAGCTGAAGCAACACGGGTTGAACTAGAAGAAGCTGACAAGAAGCTGAAACTTGCCCTGGAAGAAGCTGAAGAAGCCAAAACAGCAGAGGTAAGGGCTCTTGATCAGATTAAAGCACTTTCAGAGAGAACCAATGCCGCACGTGCCTCGACATCCGAGTCAGGTGCCAATATCACAATCTCGAGGGACGAGTTTGAGGCCTTGAAACGAAAGGTGAAGGAGTCGGATGAATTGGCTGAAATGAAAGTGGCAGCAGCTGTCGCTCAAGTGGAAGCTGAAAAGGCTAGCGAGAATGAAGCACTTAAAAGAATAGAGGCAATGCAAAAGGAGATTGGGGATATGAACGCTGCAACCCAGGAGGCATTGAAGAGGGCCGAGATGGCTGAAGCAGCTAAAAGGGCAGTGGAGGGAGAGCTGAGAAGGTGGCGGGAAAGGGATCAGAAGAAGGCGGCTGAAACTGCTTCCCGGATTCTGGCGGAAACTCGGGTGGCATCTGAAGCAGCAGCATCCCCTTTTCATAACAGGATGCCACCAAAGCCCGTCATGCAGAAGCAGAACACATTGCCACCACAAAAGGTGATGGAGGTCCGGAAGTTGGAAAAGGGCAAGACATCTGTATCCAAGAAGGTACTGGTGTCCAATCTCAGTGGGATCTTCCATAGGAAAAAGAACCAAGTTGAAGGTGGGTCTCCTTCTTACTTGCCTGGTGAGAAGCCCGTATGAGGTCTCCTTCTATGGTAGAGACCTTTGTTGTGACTATGGATTGGATGGAGAGAGATGTCAATGAGTGTTTTTTTGTTTGTGTGGGCGGTGTAAATTCTTAAAGTGCAGTAGGATTCAGGGGGGTCTTGGCCCTTTGGTGGGGACGAAGAACAGATGAAAAACATGGGGTTTTGCTGTATATTTCCCGTTTGTAAGATTCATGATTGGAAATCCATGTTTTTATGGCATCAGCTTTACTCTCATGTTTCTATTATTTGTTGAGTGCTTCTCTACGGTTTTCACAAGTCCAAATGATTGAAACATTTTCTTTTGTTTTAGCAGTTGATTTTTGTTGTTGTTGTTGCTAAAGGTATCACAAAGTGGGAGACAACAAGATACAAAATATATGTATAATTATAAGACTTTTATAGATCAAATCACAAAAGATAAATAATAAAGGACAGCTGGACGATCTAACGATCAGATGAGGTTTTTTGTCACGATATGGACAATCCTAATATACCTATTTACGACTTCTAATCATCGAACCAATAATTCAATTCACTTATATTTTTAATTTTAATTTATTATATTTTATGTTAAAATCGTAATTCAATTATTTTATGCTACTAACAATCATCAACCTAATAAAAGTTTTTTTTTACCGAACCGCGTTATAGTAGGATTTTAGAAGAGAAAAGTGAGTTAAGATAACTGTAAGGTGGGGTAAATGCCACATTTGGTCACTGAGATTACTAAATTGTGCCATGTTTAGTCACTAGAAAAATTTAATATCAATTTTGGTCACTCGAATTACTGAAACAAGTCACATTTAGTCTCTCTCTCTCGTTAGTTTCCGTCCAACTTCATTAATGGAGTTGGATGGAAGCTAATGGGAGAGTGACTAAATGTGATCTGTTTCAGTAATTCAAGTGACTAAATGTGACACGTTTCGGTAATTCGAGTGACCGAAGTTGGATGGAGGCTAACGGGAGAGTGACTAAATGTGACATGTTTCGGTAATTTGAGTTACCAAAATCAATATTAAATTTTTCTAATGACTAAACATGACACAATTTAGCAATCTCAATGATGAAATATGGTATTTACTTTGTAAGGTGAAAAGATGGAAAACAGGAACAGTAGAGAATCTTAAGGAAACAGAGAGTGGAAAACAACAAAACATCACACAACTCAGCACTCAATTCAGACGCAGTCACTCACAGCTGCCGACTGAACATTTTTCACTTTTCCCTCCCTCGGCGGTGGCCCAAACCCATTTCCTCCCCACCACGCAGCCAGCCGCCGATCTTTCCATTTCTCCGATTCTCCCCTGCGCCGGCGGTGATGGGAAGCCATCACAGAGAAGACCCACTTTCCTACCCAAACAACATCCCTTCTTCGTCGTCCTCTCCGATCACAGTCTCCGACTACCTCGACCCCGCCGCCGCCTTCCTCTCTTCCGACCCATCCAACAACTCCCTCCTCGGCAGTGCATCCAGCAGTTTCCAGAACGACCAGGGTTTCCTAACCGACGCGGCCGCCGTCGCCGCCAACATCGACGCCGAATTCGGTTTCTCTCGCCCGGACTTCAGGCAGAGCCCGCTTGTCGGGACCGTGAAGTACTACGAGCGCCATGTCTTTCTGTGTTACAAGAACCCTTCTGTTTGGCCGCAGCGGATTGAGGCTGCCGAGTTTGATCGCCTCCCCAGGCTGCTCTCTGCTGCCGTCACTGCTAGGAAGGCTTATATGAGGAAAGAGGTGTGTGTCTGTGCGTGGATTCTATCTATTTGTTTCTCTGCTCTACTTCGGGTTTCCAATTTCATTATGTGGGTGGGTTTATATTGTTCTGGACTTCTGGGGTTGAATTTTAATGGGTTCATTTGAGAATGTTTACCCTGTAGATGAATGCAAATTGAGTTGGTGATAGAGTGGTTTTTAGGTTTTGATCTTTCGCGAAAGAAATGTGATTTGGTGTCCACTTGAACTTCAATACTGATGCCGGGGTCTCTAGTTGAGTTCTAGTTTGTGAATTGCGTTGCAGGAGGACTTTCCAAGTAGTGTTGAGTAGTGTGATGAATGTGTTGGATAGGGACCTGCTCAGTGTCCTTTAGGTGGTTACAGCCTGACGGGGTCAATGACTGGGTTTTCATCTTGTTCATCATAAAATTTAGCCATTTCTATGAACCATTCGTGTACTTTCTATCTGCTGCTTTGTTATTGAACTCCTTTAATTTTATTAACAAATTACTGGGAGGTTCGAGTGGTTTCTTCGCCCTTATCGAGGGTCATTTTTATCTACTTGTCCCATTTATGGATTTATGCATTGTTGGTTGGATTCTGTATTATGGTTCCCTTGTGGCGATTGCCTCTATAACCTTTACAATGGTGTGGTTTCAACTTTCAAGTATCGCATATAAAAACCTGCAGTTTTGCTTTGCTACTTTGCAGTGCTAGTTGCAAGGATGGTTAGTCACGTGCTTTCTCTGTACACGGATTGGAATGGTCTAGTAGCACTTATTTCTTTGAAGAGTAGTTATGTTGTCTTGATTTGGTAGGATTAGATGGTGAGAAATGAGACCGGGTGCCATCTATTTCCGTCTTCTGCAACTTCAGTTTGTGAATAGCCCCCATCAACTCTATGCTGGCTTATGAATGATAGTATCTTAATCATTTTTGTTCATCCAATTTTTCGGCTGCTTTGTTTTCAGACCCGGCTAACAATATGTGAGGGACATGATGGGACAGAAACCTCAAATGGGGACGTGTTAATCTTTCCTGACATGGTTAGATACAGGTCAATAAGTTTGACTCTTTCCCTATGGTTCCTGTTCTTTGATGCTCTACTTCCTGGTAAATCTGATTTTACTTAGTGAAGGACGATGCAGGAGGTTAACACATTTCGATGTTGAAACATTTGTGGAGGAAGTGCTGGTCAAAGATGGTGAATGGATGCCTGGAACTCCAGAAAAGCTTCATGGTTGCTATGTATTTGTATGCTCTCATGCCTCCAGGGATCGCTGTTGTGGCGTTTGTGGTCCAGCCATAATTGGAAGGTTTAAAGAAGAGATAGAAGTCCGTGGTATGCAATCTAGAGTCTCTGTTAGTGCATGCTCACACATTGGGGGCCATAAGTATGCTGGAAACATTATCATCTTCGGATCAAGTGTCAGTGGAGGCATCACTGGGCACTGGTAGTTCAAAATCCATTCCGTTATATATGTGCCAAGTTTGTGCTTTTCTCCTCTGAAAGATTTGGGAATTCCTTACAGGTATGGATATGTTAGTCCAGACGATGTGCCCATATTACTCGAACAACATATTGGCAGAGGAGAGATTGTTGATTGGCTATGGAGGTATTCTTTTGTTTCTTGCCTGTAGTTTTGAACAACTAGAGTTTCATACTTCGATGAAATCGACTTCAGTCATTATTATTGTAAAGTGAGTCACAAGTGTTAAAACAAGAAAGATTGAGACAGTACATAATGTTCAAATATTGAGATGAAGAGATACAAAAAAAATTCCTGTCTGATGGATTGAGATATTCCTATATTTGAACTGTTCTATAAAGCCACACGGGATGTTGAATTCAGGGGCCAGATGGGTTTGTCAGTAGAGGACCAGATTAGGTGGCAAGAACAACGGCTGCAACTGAATGGGCATGGTGATGTGACGGATAGCAGAGAAGTGCCACATAGAACAACAGATGTCGAAGCAAGTGTTGCAGCAGGCAGTGTGTCTGAATCTGAAGCCATTGGAGGACGCTGCCAGGAAATCGGGAACTCTGCTTCTTACAGTCAAAAGCCTGTCTCAACAGAAACCAGCAAGCCGAAAGAAGGGAAGCTGTCTCTACTGGAGGAGAAAAAGGGCAACAAGAAGTTTATCTCCCGTCGTAACAGTGGGAAGAAATCCCTAGCTCATAGAGTTTGTGGAAAGCCAACATGGCTCGAGAGCTGGGAGCTTGAAGATACATATGCAGTTGCTGCTGTGCTTTGTGCCGTTGCATCAGTTGCCGTTGCATACAAATGCTATAAACAGCTGAGTTAAATGATTCCAATTGATTTCCTTTTGTGTGTGTGCGTTTTTGTTTTTTGTTTTTTTTTTTTTTTGGTTCTTTCCCTTGCATCTTTGTGGCATCTAATGTTCATAAGCAAAACTCATCAGTGCAAAGAATCTGTAAATGAATCCTTTCCTGACATTTGTTCTGGGTTTACGAAGTCAAAGCTTCTGTATTTATTCATCCATCTCTATGAACAGCTTCTTCATAATGCCATGTAGCTTTCCCAACATGTTGGATGTGCAGCCTGCACTCAATCATCCGAAAAGTTGCAAAAGTAATTGATAAAGATGGTAAGGTGGAAGATTCTCTATGGAAATGAAGGGATTTGAGAAATTAGTGAAATTTTCTTTTCCTCTGAAATGGGAATTAATATGATCAGATATAAGTTTTAAGTACTAAGGTGGTTGAAGTTAGGGGTGTGTATAGTCTGGTTCCGTTCACAGTTAGATCGAAAGGGGCTAAGAATGCACCATTAACAAAGGGGAAATAAGAACCAGAATCGAATTGAAAGTGTACTTGGTCTAATTCAGTCTTCATTTGGTGTACTTTTTTGTTTATTTTTAAGAGAAACCATGAAACTTGAATCAAAAGTAATTCTTCTGAATCCAAACATCAATTCTCTCCGATTTGTTTCGTGTAATCCAAATCTTTACCCATGATTGATTAGTGGTCTTCTACCAAAGCCCCTTATGTACATGACAGCACGTACTGTAAACTTTGATTTGTAATCCATCACAGCTTTGTCAAGTCTTCAGCACCATCCTGATCCATGATTAGGCACAAAAACATCACCTAATAGTCTTTTGCTATTGGCTACAAAACAAGGTGCCAAAATGAGTAAAGCTCTTCTGAAGCAAGTAGTTCCTTGTATATAAGGTCCCAACTGAAGGGTTAATTAAAAGTAAAGAGGGATATGACAAAGATCATTTCACCCTGAGATGTTTCTTGTCAATCTCCTATGCAGGTGACTTAGCCCCTCAACTTACTCTGCAAGATGTGCATCGAGCTGATGCATCAAATTGAAAAGCTACACCGTCAAAAACCTTAATTAGTACAAAGTTCACAACTTTCCCCATCTTTCTCAAGTTTTGCAGAGGCCTGGATCTCACTCTCGTACTTCCGTTTTGGTGCGAAATCAGTAACTAAACCGCATCCCTAAATGTTCATTCATTCCTTCCTTGTGTCAGCTTTTTTCACATGCCATTCACCCGGACTCTGCTGAATGAATTGTTGAGGCCATTAGAATCACCTAGCTTGTGGAGCTCGGACTCTATCGTCTTCACGATCTTGGCATCTTCAGGGTCAGGCTCGGGGTACCTTACATGGATCGAGCCTTGTTTGAGAGGTGGTGAATCAGATTCGTCCAGCTCAGCTTGCTGCTTAACGTAGTTGTACAGCTGCTGATGGGAGGCATGATCTAACGAGAAGCAGTTTGTGGTGGTGGTTCCATTTGCAGCAGCAACAGCACGAGACGAACCAGAGGCCCCTTGTCTACAGAAATGAGGGAGTGAGGAATAATCCATTATCTGCATTCAAAAGCAAAAGGAAGTTCAGTTTCAATGGATGCTGTGAAAATTGTATTTTTGACAGATCCTAAGCAAACAAATTGTCTTCCTTGCCTTTAACAATTCGTCCTTCCCAGAACCTTGTAGCACCTGAATCTTCTTCCTTGTCCTCTCTTGTAATAAAGGCTTCACAACCTGTCAACAAAGGTTTAGGCGTTGGTGAGCACCATTGTATATGGGTTTATAATAGAGAGATACTAGAAATGCTTTGAAAATGAAGAGACAATAGACGAGAACCTTCCAACAGGCAGAAAAGATGTATGGGACGTTGACAACGTAATATGTGTCTGTCTTCTCTGGATAGTTTAAGTCGTCAATGGTAGATATTGCAGTTAATAACTGCACTCAAAGATCAACAGAAAGTAAAATTCATAAATGCCAATAGGATGGAAGAGTTGCAAATCAAACATTAGAAGACTGAATGTACCTTTATTTGATTTAGAGCTGAAAGCCTTAGACCAGTCATATCTAAGATCTTAATACATGTGCTAATATGCTTTCCACACTTCTTGGTTGCATTAGGCTACAACAGATAACGGGTTAGGCTTCATCACACGAAAAGCAAATGAGCAATGAAATCTCAATGGCTGAAAGTTCGACTCACCAATACTACACAATCGCGGTATTCATTCATTTGGATGTGGGACTGCACATAGTAATGTACCTGAAGCAACAAAAGTAATAACCTGAATATGTGAGGCAGATATTGCACAGAAGTTCAGGAATGATTTTACACTTTTCATAGTTCCATCGTTTCATAACTTGGCATCATATGGGTCCTGGCTGGACTTTATAAACTGCTCTTACTATTACGATATGGCCATAGTTTCAATGCACAGTCACTTTCACAGTAAACTTGAGGAGAAACAGATTCCACATTAAACTTCAGCAAGCAGCATAGTTTTTCAAACTCAATGCCACATTGGATGTCTGCAAATTCAACCAACGGGATATAGTAATGGTGTAAGAGTCTTACAGAAGCTTTGTCATATGTGCTCTGCCCCACACCAACAGCAACAACAGGAAGACCCTTCAAGATAATACACAAGGAACAGTCAATAGATCTATTTTTCTTAATGAACGATAAACAGATTAGACTACAAGTACAAGGATGAAACAAAAAAAGATTGCAAGAGATGGATGAAACAAATTGACCCAAGGAAAATCTTAATTTAAGCATTATGACTATACCTCCCTCGTGTAACCTGATAATCCTACAAGCTGAGTATCCCGAACTGATCTATACAATTCTGTAGGAACAATCGGTTTCTGTAGACAAAATAATGAACTAGTCAACAATAAGAAACTCAAAAGGAACCTATCTCATGTTCTCAAAAGCAAATGTATCATAGTGTGTAAAACACATTCCGCATACATGGTTAAGCAAAGTAACAGATAGAAGATAACTAAGAGAAAGGAAGGAAATGCTAAAAACATACGTAAAAATTAAGAAAGCAAGAGAAAGAACTAACCGCCAAAATGGTGTCAATCTCATTCTGTACCCTCCACTGCAAACAATCAACCAACTGCAGCAATGGACAAGAACAACAAATAGAAAAACTAATGAAATCTCGAAGGATATAAAGACCAAAGAAAGCGATAATATGGACAAAATTGAATAATAATAAAATCAACCTAACCATTTTATGTGCCTTGGCAACATTCCAGTCCCGCGCTTTAAGAAATCTTGTCAAAGTTTCAGTTACAAATCCCTGGTGCACCTTCTGCAGACAATCAATAAAGCATTAATTCAGAAATGCCTTGTGGTTGACAAGAATGAATCCCACTCAACTCAAAACAATAATGTTTTGGTTACAACAATCAATGTAAAGAAAGCACACAACAAATTCTAAGAGCCATACAACCACACAGCTGAACCCATTTCCCCGATATACTACAACTCACATTCACGTACAAGAGAACCCTTGGAGAGACCTAGCATACACACCAAACTGGTTCTCTAATTGATCAGACCCAGCAAATAATCATGAGTTAACACTTCATCCAAATTTTTTGGGTAATGCTTTGCCACAACATTCTCCAAGCACCTTCCAGCATTTTATTTCAATGTAGCACCTTCTTGGTTAATATTCTCCAATATTATTTCTGTGTCTAATTGCCCTTTCAGTAAAGGCGGAAATCAGTTAAGTGAACTAAGTGATTTCTTTTGCTATGCTAAATTTCACAAACTTAAGGATCCCTAGACCACCCAAGCCACTGCAACTTCAGGGTACAGTAGTTGGATTTAAAATTCTCAGCCACAGATCACCATTTGGCACCATGATAGATCATCAAAAAGATTTCCCAGTCGAACTTCCAGATGCTATCACACCTTTATGATATCAGACTTTGAGCATTGCCTTTCTGTATTCCACCTATTCCTTTCGTCTATATTTACAGTTCCGTACCTAAGGCCTAAAGACTTCTATCCTCGTCATTTAGTTCCATGATGGAACTTCTTGCTCCGAATACAGAATCAATCAAGCATTTGCCTAAGACTAGTAACTGAATACCAAGTCAATTAACCAGAAAGAGTAAAACAGCTCTACAGAGTATAATCAAATCCCCTTCTCCCTTATGCTATTTTTGTCTCATATAGTATCCAATCAGATAAAGTATCCCAAGTTACACTAACCAATACACGTCTCATTATTAGCAAAAAATACAAAAGTTGCGTCTAAGAATACCTAAATCCACGAGCTCTTGGCAACTGATATACCAAATCAAACTTCCTACACTAACTGTTAACAAAGAGTTTACCCCGCAATTCTATTCCGTCAAGAGAAACTGAAAACCCAGAAAGTATAACTGCCAAGGGCACCTCGTTGGGCCAATGCTACAAATCAGATCATAACCCAAATAACTAAAATGAACAAAACAAACCCAGATCAACTTCTTCTCTGAAACATATTCAAGAGCTGCAAAGGCAGATGCTTTCTGTCGGTTCAAAGCATTTTACATTAGCAGAAAAAGATTTCGTTTTTTCCAAAACTAAGTTTGATCGTTCAGCTTTCAGTCCCATCTTCTCCGATTTCTTTTCCCCATGAGTCCAGTGAATTTTAGAAAGAAAAGGAGAGGGGGATCAAAGGGAAACTAACCTTGAAACTATTCTTCAGCGGCTCATCCACTGTTTGTCAGATCAAGAAACGCAAATAACAAAAACCAAACTGGCGTCAGCAGAAGCAGACATCACGGATCAAGTATACCCAGAAAGCCAAAACTAAGAGGCAACAGGCTAAATGAGCTCGGGTGAGAGCTGACCTTTGTCCATCAGAGACTGAAACTGCTGGATCGCTTCTTGATTAGCCATACCCATTTCGTTTTTTCTGTACTGTACAGCTCTTCCGCACTAACAATGATCAAAAGCTCCGAACTTTATTGCATACACAACACAATGGTAACAGAGAGACAGAGCTTCTTGGCTTGTTCAGCACTGCTTTCTCTCTGTCTGTAGCTACCCTTTTGGGCTGCGAATTTAAACCCCGGTCTCAAGCAGAAAGTCGCTCGGACAAATGGAAAAATTGCATTCAAAGGAGAAACCGAGTGGGAGAACTACTGGCGGTGGTTGTGTCCCCGAAATCTAGGTTCACAAAGACACAAGCATCGTTTTTTTCTGAGATGAACCAGACATTTGAATGCTCCTAAATAGGCGAGATCGAATATTCGCAAAAGCAAAAGGTTAAATGGTAATTGGTCCATGATTGATATTAAAAATGCTATTAATGGCGATTCTCAAATAGTAATTTGTTTATTAGC